AAAGGATCATGATTCCTTATTTAAGCTTGAAATGTTCAATTTAACATATCGAGATGAGCAAGATTATCGACATTCGAATCAAGATGATAAAGCCGTTTCCAATTTGATTGAAACGATGTCACGTTGCGCAACAAACATCAAACATCTTCGTATAAATATATTGTTATGGGAAGATCGTTACACTATTTCACAAATTGATGAAACTATATCACAACTATTATTAAGACAAAACAATTTGATCAGCTTTGAGACGACCAATTTTCACCATCCTCTAAAGATATTTTCTTCATTGACAAGTCAAGCCTCAACTTTAAAGGAACTTAAATTATCATCAAACTTTCCTTTTGATGTTTTGTTCCTTCAAACTTTAATATCTTTAAATAGTTTAGAAACTTTACATTTAAATTCCATGTCTTTAACCCATATCCCCTCCCATTTTACGACGCATCAACTTTCCATCAAAAATTTACATTTATTAATCCCAAAATTATCTTCATTCGAATACTTACCTATTCTACTTTCAATGATAAGTAACAATTTACAAAGACTTGTATTAAATGGTTTCATTCAAAAAGTTTTTCGGGATATTATAGAATATTGTCCAAACATACAAGAATTATGCATTGAAACGAATTCCCCTCTTCAAAAATCTTTCTTAAATTTACTTTCTTCTCTGAACTCCTTAAAATATTTAGAATTAAAGAGAGGAAAGAAGATTGAATTCGAATGGCTCAAAGATGATTACATCTCGCAATTTTCAACATCCATTCCGTCATCATTACTTCACCTTTCACTACAAAGTAATATCTCGGTTGAGCCATTAAAAATAATCCTGGATAAATGCCGAGCTAAACTTTGTACATTAGAATTATGTAAAACACACATGCAAAATGAGGACTCCAACTTTTTAAATTTACTAATAGATTACACAAAAAAGAATTCGGGATTAAAAAAATTAAGACTATGTTTGGTAAATTATAACGATTATAAATTTAAACCTAGTTTAGAAGATATTGAGAACGCAAGAGAACTTTTTAACGTTATTTTAAATTAAACGGATTGATTTATATACAGTATATGAAAACGTGGTTTATTTATTTGATGGATCCACACATAATGATGTAATTAACTTGAGCTTATAAATGTAAATCTTAATGTAAAATCATAAGAAATCTTAAAATATATAAAATATTATAACTTAGAGAAAATGTGTCGAATCTTTAACCCAACCCATAATAAGGTTTCCTTCGTTTTTATCTCTTCCGATGAGAAACACTCCGTCAAGTATATTCCAACCATCCCTATAAAACGTTAAAATTTCTATCTGTGGCAAATTTCTTATTCGTATATGTTCCCAATTATGTTTAGCATTCGATAAAAAACACATTAATTCCCATGGACGACTTTCTTCCTCATTGTTCCAATTTACTCCCTTGGAACCTCCGAGTATCGCGATTCGATTATGCATTGTAAACATTGCAACGCACATTCTTTTGCCTGGTTTCGATATCCGATTTATACATGATGTCATTATCCAATCAGATGGGAGTAACATGGATAAGGATTTCCCCTCATCAGGGGGAGATAACAATTTATACCATTTATCTTGATTGAAATCGAAAACTGAAATATCTTCGTCATCATGAACTTGTGAAGAATTCGAGAAGTATTTTGATTGTTGTCCACCATATATATATAGTTTTTCATTCATCACGAAAGAACTATGTAAAGAACGTCGATATGGGATATTAGGCGTCTCATTATTATAACAAGTCCAATTCTTTGTCTTTGTATTATAAATCGCAAAGTCTTTGCTATCAAAAGCAAATTCTTTATCTATTAATCAATTTTATTTTATTTTATTTTATTTTTTATTTTGCAATGATGATTAATTAACGTGAGAGATGTATATATATAATTTGAATCCAAGTAAAATAACTTACCGTCGTTAAAAATCGAACTTCTTCCGCCAAACATCGCCAAACGATGGTAATCTATGGCGTCAAGTGTATGCATCATTCGAGGACTCGGAATATTTTCATCATTTTCGTTTAAAATTTGTAATTCAAATGTATAAACGTTCAACTCGTAAAAGACGTTTGTAGTCACGCCCTTATAAATATTTTCACCACCAAAGATGTAAATTAAATTTTTGATCGCGGCTGCAGCGTAATGTCTGATTGGTTCATATCTACTCTTGGAAGTAGATTTGAACTTTAAAGGTTTTTGTACCCACTTGATAGGTTTCCCGGTTAAATCAAGAATCCAACAAATTGAAGATTCCTTGTAGAAGACTGGTAAATAAAAAACGTGGTTAAACCAAACGCCATCCCTATAATTAGAAATCGGAATTTCGTGAAAGTTCGATATTACTGCCGGTTCCCACATGGGAGATACTATTCCAAAGTGATATTTGCGCGCAACGTGACACATGGATCGACAAGTCCAGGAAAGGTGTTGTAAATCATTTACATTTAACATATCCATAATAACATATATGATTTCAATTGGTATTTTAGAAAGCTTATTTTCATTTAACAAATGTAAAGTTAATTTATGTAATTTTGTGTTCGTAATGGGACATAAAGAGATGACACTTGTAGTTCTCATTTTTATTGACTATGATTACAAAATAAACCACGCTCATGTAACAAATATAATATAATATAATAGCATCGTTTGAATCACCTGGTAGGATCTTTTGGTAAAGGAGCTTATTTTTTTTTTTTTTTTTTTTTTCAGAACGGAGAACGTCCCCAAAGTGCAGGTAATCTGACAGCAATGGGTTTTATATAATTTTAAGGAACCAGTGACAATTCACGTGATTCAATAACTAACGTCATCGTATGTTTTAATGACATTCCTAATTAAACTAATTAAACTAAACGGAGAATATTCATAAAATTACGCAGCAAAAGACTTATTTGGGTAACACCTTATGTCATTTGTGTCCGACAGAGCGTGAAAACGTGATCAAAATGTATGCAACCTAAGATAAGATTCCTAGAAATTTGAAGATAATCAAATGTTATGCATGACGAATGAAAAGAAATCTATGTTCAAAATGTTTCATTATTGTGAGTATTCATTTTAATCATTTTGTTATCGATATTTGATCATATTAAACTTTAATTCGTCCAAGAATAGTTTCAAATTGAACTTTATCAATTGATACGTTCCTCGTCGGTTAATTCCATGGTGTTTGTTTTGTTGATCTTTCATTATTCTTTTGTAATTGAAATAAAAAGTATTTTTTGTAACAAAAAAGAATTTTTTTTTTGATTTCTCGGATCCGTTGTCATATTGGCGTTTCTTCAAATGATGTAAGTGATTATCTAAAATGAACGATTTTTAAAGGTTATTTGAGAATCTGCTGGAAATTTCTTGGTCCATCATCATTTCACTCCACAATTTTTCCCGACTGACAGCCGATATCCTGGAAGCTATCCGAACATGCCGTCAATAGTTAAAAATTCACGTGCTGTCATGACTCAAGTTTTTAAATAAACATTCATTATCCCTTTATTTAGAAATCATTAAAAAGGTGGGCCTTTAACAATTGATTTTTTTCTTAAACGGGTAAGTAAGGCAGTACTAATTGAAATGTGATTTCGGTTTTTGAATAAAAGGATGGTTTATTTTAAGAAAATCTCAATTCCGTCATAAATTGTCATGACCTAAACTGGATTGATGTTACGTAATAATTTGCCGCAGTAAATTCGATCATTACACTTTATAAAAATCTCATTAGGATAGTCTCTGAAAATTTAATAATATGACGTAAAAAGAAATGCCCAATTTAAGTAACGAATATATTTAGATTAAATGTTTAAAAACAATACTAAACGCAAAAGATTGCCCATAAAACGTCAATTGTCATATATACTGTATTATTAAATATTAAACAGCTCTTTTTATATTTTTCCTCAAGTTTCGAATATATTGGTTTCTTTGTAAACGGCCCAATTATACGCAAATCGACTACGGTTCCATGATTTTTCAACATTTTTTTTTATTAATTCAATCAGTTTCATATGAACCTTTTGTCTTCTAAAATAACGATTTAATAAATACAATTTGTTCACTTCTCTTTTCAATATCCTGAAACATCAACATCACGTTTATTTAGGATAGGATTATTCATTGTAAAATAAGCACATTTTCCTTATTTTTAGAAATACATTTATTCATAAATTTCCCGGCTTCTTAATCAGGTTAGCACAAGATTTACATGGCGTTTATAATAATAGATCGCTATATCGAATAAATTCCCAATCTCTGTACCAAAGCCCAATCTTTTGATGGTAGAAAATTACGAAAGTTTGATTGGTTAGTCACTAATTTCTCGTGTTGCATACATCTTTAACAATGAAGGCACGTGATATTAATGCATTTAAATTAACCAATGCTGTTGAATACATAAATCCACAAATCAACAAATCCACAAATTATCTTTGTATCAAAGAAAATAATCATCACAACATAATGAAAGTTATACCTCATATGCACAAAATTATTTAATTGTCGAATTATACGTTAAAAATAAGTCCACCATTCATTCAGTATTACTATAATTATAAAGAACCTTCTTTTTTTTTTGTATCGTGTAAAGTTTTCATGGCTTTGACAGGTTATATGTAGTCCTACCAGAAAAAAAGAAACGAAAGATATAAACAAAATATTCGAAATTTTTTTTTAAAAAAAACGTTAGATACAAGAGACTTTACCTTTTAAAATTTCCCTTTCATTCATTTCATTCATTATCATTTTATATATATATATAAATTTTAAAATATTTATTTAATGAAACATTCCTTTTAAACAAATCTACGACCCTTATTAGATAACCTTATTTCAATCAAGTTAATTTAGCATTTATATATTGCATTCTTACAAAAACTACACATGATAATATCTTAAAATTATCCAAAAATTAAATTTTACAGAAAAAAAATTGTTTTTTTGCTTTTTTTTTTAAAAAAAACTCATCAGTTGCATAAATGGTTCAACTGATAAATAATTATAGTTTAACATGTGTTGAATCGCATCAAGATGAAAAGGCACATTTAATGTGTTCATGCGATTTTCGAATAAACGAAATGAATTGTACAGAATCACATATATTAAGAACGGGAAGCTGGATTTTAATTCCTTACTCTTCGTTTATTGCAGCAACTTCTATATGGTTTTTGTGGTATAGGTTATATTGTAAAGGACAATCGTTATTATTCCCTCCTTCAAGAGATAGAGGTAAATTTCATATGATTTATAATGTATTCCCGGGATCTAGATATAAATTGTTTAATGTGTGTGTTTAATAACGTTGGAATAATTGCAGGGATAATACGTCCGAGACCCCATGATGCATTTCATTTAGTAACAGTCTCTTTCTGTCTATTACATATCGTTCGCCTTCTTCTCTTAATAAACAACGCATTTCCAAATTCAAGATGGGCAGAAAGTAAGTTGTAAGATACGTATATGTATGAATACTCTGCTTAATGCTAACTTATTTCTATTGATTGAATTTCAGTTTTTGATGACTTACCTCGACAAACATCGTTTGCTTTCTCGGTATTATATCTTGTCGGAATCAGTTAAGATTGTTTAATCTCATCATCGTTTTGATCACGTAACAAAATATGGAATCTAACATGTATCTTCTTATTAGTTTATTCGATACCTACATTGGAACCAACGACCATGCATTACTCGGAACGATTCATACCGAACAAGGTCTTAATTGATATCGGAGCATTCTTCTTAATAATTGGTCCATATATCGTTAATACATCAATATCTTACATGATCGGATATTACGCTGACATTGAAGAAATTCCATCTGTGTCGATTAAATTATTTACGACGAAATATTTAATTTGGATTTTTTGGTTAACGACATATTTATCATCATTATTATATTTCTGGCACAAGTTAGTTTCATTATTAAAATATCACATGAGAGAATTAAAGAATAGACCAAAGGACGACCTTACGTTACAATTGAAATATGAATCTTTAGAGGTTGCCGCGATAAATTTATCAACCGTTGTGATGGTCTTCGCATTCCTCGGATTTACATTTATACTGGTATTCTTTGTATTTGGAATCTCCTACAAAACATTTGCCAAGGATAATGACACCATCAATGTGATTTACTTTTTTATTTTGAATTTTTTCGAACCCATTTGTCTTCAAATAGCGCAGTTCATAATTGTATACAAGTAAGCTTCTACTTTATAACATTCATCTTTTTCATATAATAATTTGAATCGTGTTATTCATCATGATTTTAATTTTCAGTGCCGTCAAACCAACTCCGAATGGCGCCTCATTTTGTAAAATATTAAGTTTTAAAAGACCAACGTCGATGATCTCGCATGGTATTCAAACAGCTACGTACATTAATCTTTCCGAAAAAACACCAAGATCATCATCAAAGAAACCAATTTCTGAAATACAAATAATGTCAAGTCAAACGACCAACAACGATGACCAATTCCCGCCAACTCCATTCACACCTTATATAACAGGATATCAAATAGAAAGGGAGCATGGTGAAGCGTTACCTTTTGAAAATGTGGAAGAATTTTTTCCAGATGAAATTCCAATTGAAAGCCAAAAAACTCATCATAGACGTGATTCAAGCATCGGAGGTTCAAGCATTGCTTCTACAACTTATTTTTCAATAATTCAAAGCATACATAGCAGAAACAATTCACTCCATAGTGTTCATTCGCTAAATAATAAAAGAATAAGTAACAGATTGAGTTCACAACTTTTAAATTCAAACCCTGCGAGTGAAATTGATAGTGAAAGTGGAAAAAGAAGATCGAAAAGGGCTTCACTTCCATTACAACAACTACGTAAATTTCCAAGAGAAGAATTACGTAAAAGTGCTAGCACACATGAACTACATGAAATAGATATTCAAAGTGGGAATAATGATGATGTTAATGATAAATGATCGGGTCACTTATTTATTTGTATTATTATGTATAAGTAGTAACTATTTAAAATAAATCTAACAATATAATGTTTTAATCTAAGCTAAACGATGACGAAACAGTTTCTGAGTTTGAAGAACTAAAACTTTTTTTAAGTGAGCTTGAACTGAATTGATTCCGTAATGTAGGTCCGATCAAGGCGGGGCTACTATCTCTGATGTTGTCTTCAATTCCTTTATACGTATCAACAACATTTTCCATTTGATCCAACAATATTGCAATTTTACCTTCCGTTTCATTTACATTTCGTTTCAATTCAGAATTATTTTTCTCAAGGATTACTTTTGTTTCTTGATATTGTGAAATTTCTTGTTCCAACGATTCCTTTTCTTGTTTCCATGTTTGTTGCTCCATCTCCTCTTGAACTTCTTCCAAGGATGGCTTCAAATTATTTTCTACTAGTTTAAGTTCGGTTCCCCTCTTGAATAATTCACCTATTAATTCTCTTCCTTTCTTTTCTGATTCCAAAGATTGTTCCTTCAATGCTTCATTTGATCTTTTTAATGCATCATTTTGTCTCCTCAAAGATTCATAAACTCTCCTTAAAGCTTCATAACCTTGATACATTAGATTCTTCTCTTCCTTTGCAAGATTAATTTTAGATTGTAAATCCTGAATTTGTTGATAAAGAGATTCCCTCTCCCTTTCAAAATCCTTACTTTGTTCCTCTAATTGCTGATCTGCGTATTCTTGTAATATGGAATTTCTAACGTTGGAATGAGAATTCATTGCGTCTTGTAATTCTCTAAGTCTATTTTCTAATTTTTCATTATGACTTTCGACGTAAATTAATTTTTCGTTCAAGTTTTCCATTTCTAATTTACCTTGCGTTAATTCATCTTTCATTATATTTAATATTTGTTCTGTATTTTTTGTGTATTCCACGGCTATTTGATAATCCAATTCGACTTGGTTTAATCTATTTTTTATATCTATAAGTTGTTGCGATTTTTCGAATCCTTTCGATCCTTTTGATGAATTAAGTGTTTTGCTTCTTGTGGATAACGTTCCTTGAGTTTTTTTTACGGTTTCCTTATATTTTGATAATGTAGTTCGTAATTCTTTATGTGTCGTCTCATGAAGGGCCTCTAATTCATCACAACGAGCTGTAATCTCTTTAAAACGGGTCGACGTATTTCCTTGGTCATTTGGTTCAAGGTGGGTTTTGTTTGAAAAAACTCCTCGTATAAATTCAACCTTGTCCTTTGCATCTTCAACATCCTTGGTTGTCTTTTCTAATTTCTGTGTTTTTTCACTTAATTGTTGTTTTATTTCTTGAACTTCATTTGCGGTTTTCGTTAATCTTTCGGTTTCGTATTCGTTTATCAACGCGGTGAATTTGGCTTTAAAATATGACGTTTCTTCCAGTGACGCATCGTATAATCTTTCAAAATCTAAAATCTTTTGTGAAGCTATTCTTTCTTGATTCGAAATAGCTTCCTATAAAATAAGAGAAAAGTGACAAATAATAAATCAATAAATGAAATTCTTGAAATGATAAAAAAAAATATTATTATTTGTTTTGAACCTTGGTTTTTTGTAATTGTTGGCTTAATTTAATAATGGCTTCGATGACTTTAAATTTTTCTGATCCTTGTTCTCCGATATCAATAAATTCATTAATATCAATAATATTCCCAATCACTTCATTATTACTTTTATTAAAGTTGAACGTTGGTATGAATCCAGCTTTTCTCGCTAAATCGATTTCAGCTTGATATAACTTTTCCCGTTTTCTTAATTCGGATATTTTAAAATCAGCTTCCGATAATCTTTCTAAAAAATTTTCTCGTTCTAACGAAGATAATTGTGTGGTCGGATAATGATCACCGTCTGAACTCGCTATTGAAGAGGAAGGAGTTGTTATTATTATCAAGTCATCTTCTTCGTTGTAAGTTATTGTACCACGTTTCATCGGTTTTACGTTAACCGTTGACGGATCTGAAAATAAACGACGTCTTGGTGGACGAACTGGCGGTGGTTTGCTACTTTCTTGGTAATAAAAGTTTTCGGGCGGCGTAATTTGAATTGTCGGTGAAGGAGCGTCGTGAATTTCTTCTTTTAATTTAACTGAAGACGTACCCTCAATAGGGATTGGAGGTTCTTGAGAGGAATTGATAGTAAAAGTGTGAATTTCTTCTTTTAATTTTACTGAAGGCGTGCCCTCAATTGGAGGTTCTTGAGAGGAATTGATACTAAAAGTTTCAGGATTTTCGAAATTCCTTAATTTGATTTGATTTTTCTCCTCTATTAATATTCTTGCACCTTTTGGTTTAGGACTTGGATTTATGGAAGAACGATCACTATTTTGCCTTTTCAACCCACCCTTTTCAATTTTATTTTTAGTTCGTTCTGATTGTTTTCGTGATGAAATGCCTTCTTTGTTCTTAATGTTTGGAGTCTTTTTTATTTCTTTTTGAGGCGAAGCCTTTGGTATTTTTATTTTTTCATTTGTAACTGATGATTTTTTTGAATCGAACATCGAAGAAGGTCTAGAATTATTATTATTATGACCCCTCTTCTCTAAAGGATTTTTTAATTGACGCTTATTTCCACCAGTTCTCACTAAGTGTTCACGTGTTGATGTTGTTGCAATATTAATATTACGAAAAGATGATGATGACGATGATGGTCTTGATGAAGACCTTATATCAGGATTTCTTGCCTTTAATTCGATTTTTTTAAAAATATTATGATTATTAGTTTCGCTAACAATTTCTTTTCCTTTTTTTGATGATTGTGAGCGTAACTTTGGAAGTGATTTCTGTTGAGGAAATGAAGATAAAACTATTTGTAATCGGGAAGGAGATGATTGAGATTGTGAAGAATTTTGAGGGTATGATCCGATTGGATATTTTATCTTTGCTATAGGAGAAAAAAAAAATTTTTTTTTCAGTAAATTTTTTTTGTTGTAAAAAAAAAAATAATAAAATAATTTTTTTTTTTATAATTACAAGTATCTAAAACGTGAATGAATCCTTCTCTATCTGGCTTTGATGGGTTTGTGGATTCTCCTCCAAATATCATCACCTTGTGGTTTGAAGAAGATAAGGTTAACCAATATCTAGGAGTGGGTGTAGGGCCCATCTTTTGAAACATATACCACCTCCTTTCTTTTTTTTTTTTTTTTAAAAAAAAATAAATAAATAAATAAATAATAGGATTAAAAATATATTAATTAATTTTGTTTTTTAAAATAATAATAATAATAACGAACAAATACATACTATTGATTCCATAAGCTGCTAATTCAGACAACTCTTTTCCTTCTTTTGTTCTTCCACCAAAAATAAATATAATATCGTTAACTAAAGCTGACCCATGACTTTCACGCGGAGCGGGAATAACATTATTACAAGTTATCTCCGTCCATTCCTTTGTACTTATATCGTAACACCAAGTGTCATTAAAACACTTTTCACCATCAGTTCCACCAAATCTAACTCGTAAAAATTTTCATATTAAGAATAAATAATCCAAAAGAAAGAAAACAAAAAAAAAATCTTTCTTTTACATGTATATTTTTCCTTTATATGCACACGAGATGTGCCCTGTCCTTCCAGGTGGAGGTTCATTAGCTGGATCGATAAATTCCCAACGAGCTTCGTTATTATCAACTAGCAATAAAACAAGAAATTTTATCGTATCATATAGGAAAGGACCCCACACTTTCTTTTGCAACGACCTTTATAACTTACGATATTTTGTGTCAAATGCGACCAAGTCATTTAAATAATAACCATCTATACAACCTCCAAATACATACATTATAGAACCTATCAATACAGCTGTATGACCAAATCTTCCAAGAGGCGTAACACCTTTTATAGATGGTTTTGTCCATTTTTTTGTCTCTGATTTATATATAAATCGAATGAAATTAAAAAAAAAAAAATACTCTATCTTTTGATGGTACAATTTTATTATTATCTCATTATAATTTACCTTTATTTAGAACATATAAATTGTAATCTGGTTTTTCTTCAATGTTTTCAAGTTTTCCTCCAAAGACTTTTTTTTTTAAAAAAAAAAATTAAATTAAAAAATAAAATAAATCAATTGATGACAATCCAAGATAATTATTAAATCCACATACCTATTAAATGTGATCCCACTCGTACATGCGTATGACCACTACGAGGTGATGGGATGTTACCATCTGTTTTAATAGCTTGAATATTACATGTCTCTAGAAAAAAAAATTATAGGCATCGATAAAATATATATATATATAGGTTTTTTATTTTTGTTTTTTTTTTTCGAGGTGGATAATTATAATAAACTACATACTAGTTTTTAATAAGAATACATCATTATTAAATTTTTCATTTGATATTCCACCAAAGAAATATAATTCATTTTTAATCGCATTTGAACAAGAAGAATGACCATATCTTGGAAAAAGATTATGATCATTTGGCAATAATTTTATCTGAGACCAAGGGAATATCGGGTTATTGATAAGAGGTTTTGATTTTACGGCTTTTGTATTGGCAAAACTCATTGTTTGTTCTTGATTGTTGGTATAAAGGATATTTTACAAAAAGTTGAATATAAATATAAATAAATTTAAATTTAAAATATATATATTTTTTTTATTGTTATCTTAGAAATAAAGTTTTATCTTGACGCATGTAATTATATATATGCATGTAATTGAATAAATTCCATGGAAATCATTTTATACCCTTGTAACATTATGCCGACTTGGATGGATTTATCTTTTCGAAATAGGTTTTTGTCGACTAGACAGGTAAAGAAAAGGAAAAAAAATACCTCTAAAATAACGCCTTGGATGCAAATTTATGCAATTTACATAATTTGCATGCGCCTTGCTATATAATGAACAATGAATTTTTAAATAAGGTTAAGTGAATGTTGTGAATGTTTCACATTTAAGCCATACCCTTTTACTTGGTGAGTTTGAAATTCGAATTGATTGATTATCAAATCCAAAAATAAAAAAAGTTTTTAAATATGAACAATTTAAATTATCAAACACTTTTTAGAGGCTGTACAGATTCAATCCTATAGGATCAATAACTTGTTGGGAGACACGTTTGAATCGGATGACGTTTACGTAATCAGGTTGACAATTATGACGAAAAAGGCAATACACAATAATGTATTGTCTCATGATAACTTGAAATTGGAAACATACAATTAAATCCTAAAAAAGATATCAAAAAAAAATTTACTGGTAAACATCAAATTCTGATCCCAATGCTTTCAATGATTCTACTTTATATTTGCTCATCGATTTTCCTAAAGATTAATCAACCTGTACAACCATTTTGCTCCAAAACAAATGTTTTAATTGAAAACTATGATTAATCTATATATATATATTCCATAATTTACCAGAATTTTTATTGTCAATAGATAAATTTATTTTTTCTTCATATGCTTTTTGAGTAAAGTATTTTTTTTTTTGATAGTTTTCTCCAAGATAAATATGGAAAATGATATATAAATAATGGTTGTACAAGTTAAAGTGCACGTGAAAAATGGATAAATGAAGAAAAGTTTCAAAGCCCACACTTTTTTTTTGCCTTTAAAAATTGATTGATTTATTTATCATAAGGAAGAATTATTATTCAATCGCGTGAAAATATTTTGTCAAAAAAAAATTAATAAAATGAACCATTCTAATGAATTTATGCATTTCATTGATTTCATCGCTAGCATGTTGTCGAATCGATAATTTTGTTATATATTTCATTTATTTCAAAAGTTTCTTAAGCTTATTTCTCTTTTTTTATTATAAACTTGTATAAATTACGTCTCTTATATGCTTATTTTATCGTTAACGTTACAATGAAAATAATGAAAATAAAAATAAATATTTAAAAATGTCTTAATCTAAAAATAAATAAAACTCTTATATAAAAGAAATCATTAAAAAGATACCACTAATTTTTTTCTCAAGAAAAAAGTGAACACACACGAACATTACTCGAAAAAAAAAATTTAAAATTACGTTTGATGAGAAAAATACGAAATAGATGATAACATATTCGAAGATCCGATAAATACGCATAAAGAAATGATCATAAATGGGTCATAAATTATTTTTCACCTAAAATTTCCAAAAAAAAAAAAAAAGTGTCAATCAACTTCTTAAAAAAAAATAGACCTTAACAACTATAACATAACAACTACATCTCCGCATGTTTCATAAAACAAAAACGGCAGGCACGCTTAACTCTCTTTTCAACTTAAAAACCAGAAAATCGGATAACCAATTTAATTTGCTGGTATCGACTCATTGTTCACTATTTTGGTTAATGGTCAATGTATGATGAGAAGTGAAATTTGCGGAGATGCTGTCATTTTCATTATAATTTCTATTTTGCTTTACCTTTTATTCTATGTGATATATGGATGCTTAATTACTTTCCCTTTGTTTTAGTAAAGCTATTATAGTCGTTTTTTCTTCTACCGTTAACAAATGATTTTGTAGAATATTTCTACAAGCGGCATCCCAGTCTGCTTGATTAACTCTAAAGGCTACGGCCATAGCTTCACGAACGGCAAGAGCAATTACACGTGTTCTATTCTTTTCATCATCAATACCTTTCTCAATCTCTTCTTTATCATCGGTTAAACTTGCCATTATCAATATCAATTTGAACTATAAAAACAAGATCAAAAATGTTAAGGTATTCTTTTAAATTAGGATTCCTTGAAAGTAATGAACATATTAAAGAAACGAAAAAAAAATTATACACTTTAAAGATTTGATAAAACACGAAGATAAAGACCGAGTATTAGCCTCGCTTTATAAGAAAGTACGTTTCTCGAAAATTAACAATTATTCGAAGGAACGTAAGAAAAGAAATTCTCGAATTCATAATGTTGAATGAAACAATTATATTCATTCAAATCTAATTTTTTTAAAATATATGGGCAAATCTAGGCCTTTGTGCGATACCGATTTTGGCATATCTTATTTTTGTTTGCATGTATGCGTTGTCACACAATCAACAAACCATGTGATATCTCCGTATTTAGAAATCGGTCGTTTAATTTCATGTATTTACGTAACACTAAAATAATATATATAGATGATAAATTAAAAGAAGATTCCATTAAAGTTTTTTCAGATTCCAACAGGATTTATATTCCTGTTGTCGCGGTTTTCGCAAGAATGCGATATAACATTGTCTTTTAAAATAATCGCAAAATTGTCTCTTCTTTATCGATTATTTTTTTTTCTAAGATGAATAAGTTAAAAACGACGAGACAATTCATTACCAAGATTTTACTAAATCTTATGTGCAAAAGACAAATTTTTTGCTTTTATAATGTTCAAAAATTTGAATTACCTTATAGTTAATATAAATGGATAAGATAATAGTTAAACCCTAATATGATGTATTATTGTCATTAGCAATTAAGAAAATCATCCATTTTTATTTAATACTTAATATTTTATTTTATAAATAAAATATATAATTGAAAAATAAAGCTACAAATAATTTTAAGGTTATTGATTTTTGTATAATATCAAAGATTAAATTATATATTTTATTAATATAATATGAATTATATATCAAATAGGCGGAATTAAATTATTAAAACTACATTTTTCCATTACAAAATCTTTTAATATTTGGAATTATTACTAGAAAAATCAGGTTTTATAAATTTTTGATTAAAATTAAAAAAAAAAAAAATTAAATTAAAAAAATTAAAAAATCTGATTTAAATATAATTTCTAATTAATCAAATAGGAAAGTTGCTAGAAAAATCGTTAATTTATTTGAATACATTTTCAAATAATCCATTAAAATAAATAGAATTTAATATAAATTTCAATATTATTATATTTTTCTTAGATCATAAATAAGTTTACATCTAATAATATAAATTAATTATTATTACTTATTTATTTCAAAATTAATGTAAATAGTTATAAAGTTAATTAATTTTACTCTATTATATTATTAAATAAAAGGTAATTTTGAAGGTTATTTATCATAGTTAAAATTCTAAATAGAATGATTTAGATTAGATTTAAAGATACTTATTTACAACTAATTTCATAATTTATATACTATTAATAAATTTTCAGTCACATTTAATCATAATATTTATAGCTAATTTTATAATTTATAGATTATTAATAATTGTGACTGAATATAAATGAAAATATTTTATAATAAAATTACTATTAAATATTATAACTAAATGCAACTAAAAAAATATTAATGATTTATGAATTATAAAATTAACTGTAATAGTAATTTTATTATAAAATATTTTCAGTCACATTCAGTTGCAATTTATTACCCTATAAGAAATTGAAATAAGGAAATGATACGTTTTTTATAAGGTTTGTATACGTAATTAATGATTCTATATCAAA